ACAAAATGAAAAATTATGATTGGTTGAATGCGGTTTGCACGGTTTGTACAATTTGAGTGGTTTGCATTTGATCGCTCCCCTATATATGTATGTATGTATATGTGTATGTATATGTATCAATCTTCTTTATATATATATAAGTAAGATCCACAATAAATGATGTGCAGGTCCGTTCCTGACATTTCATAGGCCCTGGGCAAACGTAAAAACATGGCACATGACAAAAAACAAGGATTTTAGCAACGACTTTGTCGTTGCTAAAAGTCCATTTATCATAAAAAATAGTATATAACAACATGTCGTCACTATAACTTGTGGCGGAAACATGTCGTAGCTAAAAGACTCATTGTCAAAGCTCACTTTTCTTGTAGTGACCATCGGTAAGTACGAAAAAAAAAATTCAATACATGTTTTTCATTAGTATAAAATTGAGTACAAGAGATACTAATAATTTACCGATGAAAGAAATCTTATTTATCTTTATATTATATTATATATATAGGGGCTAATCAAATAAGAACTGTTTAGTTTATGATAACCGTGAGATCTAATATTAACCAATCATTTAACATAACTATTATTATAATTTAAATAACCATTAAGGGTAATTTAGTAAAAAAAATCTACAACTCATGTTTATATCTTTCCATATACCAGGCTCATCAAATCTTTCCATATCTTTCACCACTAATCAAACAAAAAAAATATTCTCTCTTTCCATCTCCCTCAAGTTCTATTGGCAGCCATGGAAATGAGTCGTCAAAAAAAGATTGGTAACCGGTGGTGAAGGAGGAGACGAGGTGATGGCGACATGGGTGGTTGATCGGTAATCGGCCATCAGGATGGAAAGATTCGTGCTTGGAAATCAAAGACCAATGACCCAAGAATTTATAAACGCATTGAAATCAAACACCAACTTGAAGTCTTGAACTACATAATCGGAGCAGATGATGACAACGATATAGATAGATTTGGTTTCTAAACTCCCCTCCCCTCTCTGGTTTCAAATATGAGTTTTTCTTGTTTCCAGATCCATGTTTTAAGAACTTTTTCTGGTTTGAACCCTCTCTTTGGGCTATTGTCTTTCTTTCTTTCTTTCTTTATTTTCTTCAAATCTTGATGTGGGTATCATAGTGGTTATGTTTGATATAAAACTCATATTAGAGTTGGTCTCAATCCGTATTCAAGACGGTAGCACAGTGATATCGTAACGGGTATCACATTAGTATCACAATGAATTTGTGTATTAAAGTTCTTGGGTATCACAATGAATTTGTGTATTAAAGTTCTTGGTTATCACAATGTGTATCACAACAGGTTTAGTGGTATCAAAGTGGGTATCACATTGTGTTTGGGTCTTACTGTTAGAAATTTTTAGGTATCACAATACACACTAATGGTCGTTTGTATGTATCTTTTCGTTAACAGTGTCGATGTTTTTAGGTATCACATTGTGTATCTTGATCTTCGCCGGAATAAGTTCACTAATGGTCGGAGGTTTCTGATCGAAGCTCGGAAGAGGGGAGAGGGGAGAAAAGAGATGGAGTTTTAAAATAACCAAAATGCCCTTTAATTAAAATTTTAATTCAAAATTACCATAATTATCAATTTCCTACTTTATCCATTGATTTGTGACTGATATTGAATCTCACAGTTATCACAAACTAACCAGTTCTTCCTTGAATGACCCCCTATATATATATATATATATATATATATATATATATATATATATATATACACACACACACAAATGAGTTATTTAGAGATGATAAATAGATTGAAAATATATGTATATGAAGAGAGTATGTAATAGTGTAATTGTCAAATGTATATATTAATAGAGACTCAACAATCATACTAAAACCAATAAATAAAAGGGTATCGGGTTCATCGAGTTGGGTTCAAATACAAGCAACCCAATATCAACCTAATACCCATCGTTTGAAGATTTTACAACTCGATTAGATATCAAGTTACTTTGATTAAGTTATTTCACATTAGGTTGGATTAGATTGATCGGATTGATCGGATTGATCGAGTTTTTAAACAACCTGCTTGAAACAATCATGTTGTTGAATTTGAATTTGCCACATGGCAGGCTATTATTTGTCAACAGTTCACCGTTGAGAGGGTCGTTTTTTTGTCTTTTCTCTATACCCATCCTTTTCTATTTACCAAATTGTCATCCAACTATTTACCGATAAAAGTTTCAAGATTTTCTTGTTTGAAAAATTTCGTTTCAAGATTATTGCATTCCAATTTTCGATTAAAACATAGCCTCACAAAAATGTTGGGCTTTCCGGTTCTTACAAACCGACATTCAATACACCTATAAAATAGAACTCGATCCACTTCTACGTAACATCTAAACAAGGGTAAATCGGTCAAATAAGCCATCCTTATTTTTCAAGAAACATCAAGAATGCACAAAAACTAGTCAACACGTCTTACGAAATAACCTCAAGTCCGAGGATTATCAGTCATTTTACCATATGCGAAAACAACTACTTCAAAACATTTTCCAAGTGTCGGGCTTCAAAATATGTTTAGCAAACAAAACCATAAAACGAGTTGTACAAGAAATTAGTCCACATAAAAAACGTAGTTTTGTTTTCAAATGATGACACTATTAGAATATATGGTGAAAGTTATTGAAATTTTACTTTATAAGTTTAAAACATTTCACGACGTCACTCAAAATTAAGCAGGGGCACCTTTAAGGCCCGTAAAAAAAAATCATTGCGGCAATAATTGATGGATCAACTCTCGAGAATTGATTGGACCTTCAAACAAAAAATAAGCGGTAAATCCCACACAATATATACAAAGTAATAAGTCGATTACAGACCGGTATTTCAACCCATAATTGCAATATAAATTTCGATGCAAAATTACATGCATCTTCAAAGTTGATTTTCTTTTCCAAATATCACTGGAATTGTTTCTTCCCTAAGAAAAATTCTCAAAGTCTTTCGCTCAAAGACGAGCATTCTGATTTCAGTTTTCAGATCGTCAATGGAAATGTTTCTTTGTAAATTCTTCAGTATATACAAAGTATTTGCATCAGGACGAAATACGTACCCTTTGGCGTCTGTAGGAGATCACCGCAGATCAATCACGTCAAACTTCAACTTCGGGTTAATATAAACATCTGTACATTGTTTATAAATTGGATTGCCGTCTGAAGGTGCATCGTGTGCATGGAAACCCCGATGAGGACAATTTCTAATGACTCCCATGCCACCAGGTGTCGTCAAACGGAAGATGCCATGAGTTCTGCAAAACACCATGGTGAATCAGGAAACAAGAATAAGTTGTGGTATTTGTATTATAATGTCCATCCAGAAAGAGAGAGGCTCTCTTCGTCCAGAGACTTGCAATGTTCCTTTTTCGGGCATATTTTTGAACTACAATCAAAAGTTTTCCCTTTTTCATTGTTACTGAAGTCTTATGATAGATGGAGAGTTTTTAGTTTTTCGTATTTTCTATGTCTTATGCTGGTCTCGGTTTTTCCTGTTTTCACCGTACATCAGTCTTAAATACTGTTTGTTAACAGCTTAATAAGCTTAATGGAACTAACAACTTATTCAGTCAGCTATACATGACTGCTTGGTAGTGACTTAATGATATATAGAAGTGGCTTATTTAGTAAGCTTCTAGGGGGAGCTTTATGTAGAAAGCCAAGTTCTTTCCAAATCTGCCCCTCCTAATTAAAAAACTCTCTTTCCATCTATGAAAAAACCTCCCAAATCTATACAGACATGACTTAATGGAAAACCAACCAAACATCCCCCTTTTTTTCCTGCTTTGATGGTTGTTAGTATTGCGTTTTGTTTTGTAACTCCTTGATTTATTCATCTTATGTCCCTGCTTCCTTTTTTCATTCAATGTACCAGTTGCTTTTGCACGCACTCCCATGTTATTATACTACTTCTCCCACATATCTCCATGTATTTTTGGTTTTGCAAGCCGGCGTCTTCACAGAAACAAAGATCTACGTACATCCTACCCCCCCCCCAAAAAAAAAAATCTACCTTTGTGTGGGATATCATTGAGTGTGGTTTGGTTTTGTTATCATAGAGTATTGGTGGTGTTGCTTTTTGTTCCAGAAGATTTATTATTTTGTCATCACAGAGATGTACTAGAGATGTTTGTGTAATAGTCAAACACTTTCCTGAAACTACGTTTTGTGAAACATTGAAAATTTGAAGGGTCGGAGTAAAAACAAAAGAGTATCAAACAACAAGGCTTTATATATTCGTATCATAGCAAATGATGCCAATGAATACCTTGAACTGTCTCTTGGTGCCATGACGATTGCTATGGCCTCCGGCAACATAATCTGGAGGATGAGCAAAAAAATCCTCAGAAATGAAATGCATGGATTTATGCAGACATTAGAGCATGTTGTACAATTAAGCGAGATTCCAAATAACCAGCAAGAAATACCAACATCCTATTGCTGAATTAATACCTATAATTCATCCAAATTTTGAAACAAAAAATTCCAGGCGGTTGTAAATGCACGGTTGCATCAACAGCTGTTCCGTATTATAAGGAAACACTACAAGAATCAAGTTGCACCAAGGTTTCTAGGCTTTGGGAGGAGGGTTGGGAAGGAAGCTTTTGTACTCAATTCTCGTCTTGCATCTAAAAAAAAGTGCCCCACCCCTATATTAGCCCAGACAAAGACAACTGGTGACAACTAGAATATAGTGTGAACTGTGAAGGAAGTAGTGGCATGCTCTCCAAGATTTTATAATTGTACATTACAAGTGAATCAGAAAATTCCTTGACTACATAAGGATTCTTAGCAATTTCTTGTCTAAAAAGGTGGAAGGGTTGGAGAAAAGACGGAGGGAACTTGATAACCAAATGAGCCCTGTATATCCGGAGGTGGGATGGGGGATATACGCAGATTTGACCACTACCTTAAACAGGGAACTTAGAAAGATGCATAACAATGAGCTCCATATCGGATGTTCATCTCTTCCAATGTCCGCGTACAATCTTTTTATGGTTTTAGAAAATTACTATAAAAAGGGACATGAGACATATTCCGGTGATGGCACCTGATATACATGGCGCGTATGAACTGCATTTTGGTACAATCCAAGACCAAAAATTTTAATGGCTTCAGAAATTACTAAAAAAAGGACAATGGAGATAATGTCACCTGATATGCGTAGTGTGTATGAACATCAATAGATGACATGAAACAAGATTGTGTTGGATGCGTCTGCAAAAACAAAACAACGATCAGGATGTAGCACATTGAGTAGATAAAAGTCTTGGGACATTTTCAGGATAACAAATATGTTGAATCAATTTGATTTCTATATGGTATATAAATGAACAAAGGATGATGAAACAGGTTATCAGGTCATTAAGAAAATGGCATACAAATGATAATAACACAGGACATAGTAGGGATATATGTAAACAGGAGAGAGAAGGATGAGGGAATCAGTTATACTTTGAATAAATTGTACATGAATTTTTTTAGGTATATATAGCATAACTATGTTTGCATATATGATAAATTAATTAGCATGTACAAGATATAATTATATGGGTTGAGTTCCTGTGAGAAGGAGAGTTAAGGTGAGAAGCGTAAAAAGGGATCACCACCCTTGGATGCACATTAGGATGAGATGCACCGGATTAATCCCCGTATCAAGCGTGATTCATGGGTGGGTTTGAGATTAAAGATGATCAAGGGTCCAGATCCCTTCTTACGCTTCTCACGTTAACTCTCCTTCTCACACGATCCTTCACCATAATTATATAGGGTTGGGTTATGGCTAGAAAGTTAGTTCTGGTGAGAAGCATAAGAAGAGATCTCCACCCTTGGATCAATCCTAATTGAATGTCAAAACTAATGAGGTGCATCGAGATGCACCAAATCAATTCCCTTATAAAGCACAATTCATGGTGGGCATGAGATTAAAAGTGATCATGGGTTCAGTTCCCTTCTTACGCACGCTTCTCACCATAACTTCCCTTCTCAGACGATCCTTCGCTTGATTATATAACCCAAATAAAAAAGTAAATACGATATAACTCAACTATGTATTATTATATGTATAATATTGCTCATATTGTGTTTCTAGATTTTGGTCATGGAACATAAAAATGTATAAGGTGTACCTTTTTCTTAACGAAGATGATCATTGTTTTCATGTGAAATCGTTGGTATTTGTGAAGTTCTTCAATTTATGGCTTTTCTATGGAATAAAAAAAATAGAAATGCCAGTGGTTTTGGACTTGGATTCAAATACAGAACAAGAATTGAATTACTTCTCTAACTTTGGTTGTTCTACAATGTTGCTTCTTTAAATGAATTCATGACACCCAACTAATTGATATCCATCAAACTTGAACTCAGGTATTGGTTTTGCTTATCGTTTGGATTTTCATTTATCCACGTTCTCAATCCAAAACAGGTTATAGTTCTTTATTCATACGAAATTTACTTCATAGCCCATCCAATGTTATATCAACCAACTTCCAGAGGTGATTATTTGATTATCAGTTTTTGGTCCGAGCCAATTCACCAATCTAAAACCCCAAATTTGTAGATACAAGGACCAACAATGATATCAAGCATGAATACCCCCCTCAAAATAAAATTGACCAACACAGGTTTTTTTTCTATGCACAAATGAAACAGACTGAACCCTCACTTTTACATACTCGGGTGTTACATATGCAAGTGAGGTGACTTGAACCTCTACTAAGACAATATAACATTACAAACCATCCAAACCCTATGATTATGTAGATACTGGACTCAACGTTAATGTTTGAATCAAGGTTTTACAGTCCTTAAACTGTGACCTCATTTATCGTCTTTGTACACCCACCATACCAAAAGATGCAACAATTAATGCATACATATAAATGTTGACCATCAATGAAACATTAAAAATGCACTTCAAGACAAAGTAGGGTAATATCTTCACACAAACTCTTTTTTTCCAAATTAAAGTAAATCTTGTGGATCAGAATCTATAAATATTTGACAGTGATGACAATGGAGCAAATTAGCAAATTCTAGCTTTGATACTTCCCCGGGAAAAGAACATCATATTTAAATAGGACATCCTAAAACAGAAATTTTTGAAATCCATGAGATAGGGGAGTACCAAGTTCATTATTTCCCGGTATTCTTTCCATGAAATATGTCAAGTCGTTTTCTTAATCATAAAAAAAGCTTAAAGTGTCAAGAGGCCAAAGAATAGAACCAAGTTTTTTAGAACTATGAGAAAGCTGATAAGACAGAAATCAGATGMATTATGTCTGAGCAAACAATTAAAGGCGGAGTTGATTCTAGAAAAACTAACTAGAACAGAAAAGGCATCACACATTCTAATTTAGAATCATAATCATATGACTCACATGTATCCATCCAAGGGCGAATAGCGATCGTTTGTCTTGCACTTCAAATATTTCCTCCTCGTGGGTAGCCTGACACTGTACCAGATAAATGCATTTAGAAAGATCATACAAAAGTATTTATTACCAGCCAATGCAATCATGCTATGACTAATCTACCATGTAAGGCAGCTAGTTAAAATGGTTTCCGTTTCTGCAATGAGGCAAAAGCCAACATCACTTTGGCAACATCAGCAGATAGGTCACATAAGGAAAAAAAGAATAAGGTGACGCGGCCTTACCGAATCCGATGTTGCTTCTTGCTTTGGAATGATGAGTGCTGTAACATAGAATTTTCGGTTTTTCTAGCAAGAAAAAATTAAGAAACAATTAGATGGGCACTAAAAGACGAAATAAGCATAATGGAAATTCATGGCACGTACAAGTGATCCAGCAAGAATACCACATGTCTCTAAATTTTTGTTTGTATTTGACTTTGCCAATTTCATGAAGTGGTCCATCAGTTTTGTGGACTGCAAAAGTCCATAGTTAGTATTTTTGCCTTTGCTGGTAACATATAACAAAAAACAGTTCCACCTCAACTAACACAGCTGATCAAGCAATTATATATTTGCAAAATCTAAATGTAGAGATGCAATTTTGAAAGATGGAATATCTCACTATGTGTAACTCAAGGGGAGAAACAACACCATCAGTGGGATTTCCAGATCCAGGCCCCGTATCCTTGACCAGTGGTGAGGTTGTAGGAAGCAAATCTTGGACCTCTGCTAGAACAGGAGGTGGGGAAGGCTGTCTTATTATGTCCAACTTCGGGGTTTCTAGTTTTTCCTCAAACGAAATCAAGGAATCAGGTTCGTCAACACATGGCTGATTGTTATTGTTTGGTAAAGTAATAGATTCTAGAGTTGATTTTTCTTGCTCCAAGTTGCTACTAATTTTTTCAATCAAAACACCATCCTCCACAAGATGCAGCTTGTTCTCCCTTGAAACATCAAAACAAAAAGTGCTATTAGTACCTTCTGAAAAGAAAAAATCGGTTATACTAATATCTTTAATTGGGTTAGAATTACAAGAGGAATAGTGAAATGGAAATTCTTTCTCCACAAAGAGCCCAACCTGGGGATTTCAACGGGTGTCAAATCTATATTGCTCGGATAACGAACCTGAGGTACATATAAGAGTATAAGGCTATGTATTAGTGAATAAAAGAGGGAGGGGAAGGTAAGATCATGATACCCCAATATTGATGCTAGGGGCTTGCCATTGCCCACGAAGTCCATTTGGGCCCAAAATAGAATGTCTGGAGAGAGTTTCCTCCTTTGCACGAGGAATATTCAGATATCTAAAGCAGCAAGAAAAGTAAAAGAAATATTTTGTGTGAGAATAGCATGCAAAAAAGAAAACGAAAACTCAGATGACTGATCACTGAAACATCAACTTCTAAGACCTTATAATGTAAGACTGATGTCAAAAAAGAATATGACCTCTTCATAAGAGGGTCCTCCGGATGAATGATACACCAAAGGGTATAAGGTATAGGGTGTAGCATAGAGGGATATAGATTATAGGGTGTAGGAGGGAAAGACTGAATGCTAATCTTCTACATTGTCAGAGAACAAAATTACAAGGTTCTCTTGTATTGACCAACAACATCCACAGAGACCCACAATTTGCCTTCCACTACTTTATTTCATGAGTTCCACAAGACTAAAACAGTAAAGCCATATTCAGTTAATTACAATGGTCAACTTCTTGTATCTACATCAATACTCGAGTTACTTGTCTTTGTTTCTTAAATTTGTACCTATAAAAAAAGTAATGAAATATATTTACAAATATAAAAAACATAATATTCCAATTGCAATGCTTAACATTTATCTAGAATCCAATTTAAAGGTCTAAGAGCTAAGAAGTCAAAGACCAAAGCAAACTCCAGGGACCAAGCAAACAGAGTGACTTCATTCCTCCTCACAAAGGCTCCTTACAGACACTACTACGGTCCTACAAGAATTTATGGGTTATTTATCCACCGAACAGAAGTATCATCCAAGAAAGCTACAACACAATAAGAGGATAGTTCTTCCTTACGAATAAGCATGAAGCATCGCTCTCCTTAAGAATAACTAAAGATGACTGCTCTATCCAACCTACTCCTCAAACATCCCTTGTAAAACCATTCATGAAATACAATGGAAACAGCTCAGAAAGAACAATAACAAGAGGAAAAAATAAAATCCCAATATATTTAGTGAATCACATTTACATCAATTGCATAATACAATTGAATAGTAACTTGATGGACCAATCACCCTAATAACAATGTGAGTCCAATAATAAATGGGCCTAATTTTATAAAAACCCAATGAACTAAGCAAGACTCAGATGACAATAAAATTAAAGCAGCTTCATGCAGAAGTCCAAGAAACCCTTTATATGAAGAAGGAAGTGAAACAAGAGTTCCAAGGGAGGAAATGAAAGGGTAAACACAAACTCCAACACGAAACTTAAGTTTGTCTTAACATAAGTACTGCAACAAACTCATATAAAGAAAACTACAGATGTCAAGATTACTACAGTTATAGTAAATGGAAGTGCAGATAAGATCAAATAATGTCATCTCAGCATTCAATGATATAGAGGGGTTTTTATATGAAAAAAGTTTACTGCTACAAGTGTCCATTCGTCCATATTTATCCTGCCACCACTTCCCTTATACCCTACATCCACCTGTCAGACACTTTTTTGCATTAATGAACTTTTAACACATTTAAACCTAAGAAATACAAATTACAATTGTAAGTGTAAACCTTAATAATATATTGGTAAAAAGCAACAAAAATAAAGTTAAACAATACTACCATAGTATCATAATAAAATTACAAAATACCTTTTGAATCACAAAAATACTTAAAAGTATATAAAGTAAAATGACACATAGAATCAACTTGAATTCAGGCCCACTACCTGACCAATAGTGAAACATAAGATTTTTTATTTACCCACTTTTTGTGAAAAATTCCGATTCAAGTGGAGGGTTTTTTCAAAGAACAAGGGAATAGATCAGCTATTCAATCAGATGATATGGATCTCTTTGAGCATGTTCCCAATCTCTTCTCAAACGAGTGAACTACCTATTCGCAAAATTATGCACATATATATACACAAACATATATATAGAGAGAGAGTGAGGTTCAAGGAAAACCCCCCTAAAAAATGAAAAACTGAGGAACACCTTATAAACATTCATATGTACGGTATGCACATGCTTGTATGCACATGTGACACCGTACAGATGAATGGTATATTAGAGTGTTCCTCAATTTTCTTTTACGGTTTTCCCCTGAACCTGACCCTATATATATATCTATATGCATATACGGTTACATCTACATAGTATGTCTCCATCTTCAGGTTCTTCTACTGGTTTCTGGTTATTCCTTACAATGTGGAGATCCTCAATTAGCCTAAAAGTTATTACAGAAGGATAGTAAACCAAACCATCAATGGGAATTCAACACCATGTTTTATATAAACTTCAGACTATGTTTGTCTAGCTACTAACCACACTTGTTCCCATTATTTTTGTTTTACAAGCTAGGGATCTTCAAGGAAACAGCCTCTCAACCCCTTGGGATAGAAGGTAAGGCCCGTATACATCCTCCCCCCCTCCAAAAAACCCTACGTCTATGTGGGATATAATGGGTTTGTTTGATTTGGTTCAGACTATGTTTGTATAGAATCACAACCAATCAAACTTGTGATACCCTAATCCCAATTCTCAGCACAGTAGCAACAACTTGAACAACATGAACCTTTACTGACGCCTGATAAAGAACAAAGGCATTTATCACAATCATAAGTTGCGACTTAGCATTTGCAAGAAAATAAAATATAGAACAAAGATAAAATACCACATATTGAAGCATATTAGAAGGTAAACAGTATTAAACAAAGGAACTATATAGCGGCTCCCAATGTTTCTGATGCATAAACCTAATCGGCATAAGGGCTAATACCCACAGTGGCGTCAGGTTTGAATTTACTACAAGACACCTTGATTGTACTTTTCCTCTATGTTTCTTGTCTTCTTTTTGTTCCATAAGAATGGAAACCAAAAAGATGTTCTTCATCAATTCCAGCTTGATAACCATCTGTCAATGCTACAATTGGTCTTACCATATAGCATGATCATTGCCTCATTGGTTTACGTGATACCCTTTAAAAACATAAGCAGTTTTCTCCAAATTCTCTTCCCTGGTGAGTCAGTATACATATAATTAAACTTCACATTTACTACCTTCAATCAATTTATTTGCTATATTTTCATCTTTTAGTTCTTTCATTTGTTTGTTGGGCACATTTGAGTAATGAAATATTAACCAAGAACAGAAACAGCAGCCTGCAAAAAATTGAAGCCAAAGCGTCATAACGCTACATTAGGCCTCACAATCACCACACTTCACCTCAAACAGAATTCGATAAATATCATCAGCAATTCAACTTAAACTTGGTCCTAGCTCCAGCTGCTGATATATGTGTGTATATATATATATATATATCCTTATAATATTCTTTATTTATCTACCTTCTCCAATAACCCAAAACAGTGCGATTCTTGTGTCTTTGCCATTATCTTGAAATGGAAGTGTAAGCATTCACCTGCTACTTCCTGTTAATTTCATAGTGGGCTACTTAATCATCACATTTCTTTGTATCATTTTTTGTGCAACCTACCTGTAGTCTGGGTAATGCACTCTCAAGCTAGGGGAGGAAATAATGGATATATATGCACACATATACGTATAAATAGAGAGATATATGAATTGCATGAAAATTTGACAATACATGAGGTTAAGCCATAATAATAACACTTACAATCGCCTAGCTTGCTCTTCCAGAGGATTAGCATGTGCGTTCATCTGAATCCGAGTATCTTGATACACATACCCATTAGCATTAACTTGTGGTGCCTGCTATTTTTACGATTTCATAGAAAAGTTTGTTTGTCTCAAATAACTTCAATAAAAGAACCACTATACAAGAATGCATCAATAATTGCCATACTTTTACCTGTTTACACCAATAACCATCATATTATAACTTGTCTCAAATGTTATCACATTTTCAAAACATTACATGAACTACCATTTTATGCATGTTTTTTACCATGTGCCAAGAGCATGCTTGTACTTTCAATGCATTTAGATACGAACCATCTCTTAAAGTTCACAAAATAAGTGAAACCAATTCTCTACAATAATATACTTTTCAATCCAAGATTATAATGGCAACTTCATTCATCACAATGCTCTCCACCCTACATCCCTTTACACTTGAACACAGTGATCATATGCAACAACCCTCCTATTATTGCTTCTCCATTACAACACTGAATTATCCGTATGAAGTCAATAATGATCATGGTAAAATCAACAACCACCATGACAAAATGGACGATGAATTTTAGGTTAATCTTAGATTGGGTTAAATTTTTGCAAGTGATTCATCTCAACAGTTATTTAATTGCCAGTAAAACTGTATAAGAAAATTCAAGTTTGGCTAAATTACAGATGAGGTTTCTGTTATTGGGTAGTTTACATCTTTCTACCTTCACTTAACAAGATTAAAAGATGAGGACCAAATGGAAAGCCAGATGGAATGGTAGCGTCTTCGTTGTGGCATCCAAGCTTTTCAAGACAGACACGGCCAGCAAAGTAGCCATGGTGGCCAAAGCTGCTGCTGCTTCCACTATGCCAGTAACAATATGCAATTGATTGCGACACCTGCTCTCTGTGTTCTACGATTTTTACAGCCTGTTCTTTACTACATTAACAAAATGTGATCTTAATTAACTGTTTATAATTATGGTTTCTATTGAACTGGTGATTTTGTAGTTGTGCCCCTTAATCAACCTTATTGGGACACACATATTTCTTATGTTGGTGATATAATTTGATATATGTGCCTTTACATATTTTTTGCAGATTTTAGACATCTGAGGATAGACTGGCTATCGGTTGTTCATCTGAATTTCCTGTGTACTTATTTTGTGTATGTCAATGGTGAAAGATAGATGGAGATTTCACACATCTCTAAAGATCCTGATGTTAGAGTGGAATAGTGGATTGAAGAGTTAAGAAGGCAAAGAGAAAGTTGGACATTCAAATGAAAAGGGGATATATAAAGAGCAAGAGATGAACTTTTTGCAAAGTTTTACTTTTTAGAGGTTGGATTATTATACCTCTTACTGAGATATGTTTGGCACACAGTCAAAAACGCATAGGAATATAATTCATGCAATATATTGTACTAGACTACTAGTATGATGTCATGAGTCCTGACTGTTGCAATAAATGTTCTTTATAGAGATTATTAATTCAAACTAGTAAAATAATGATGATTGTAAGTGAAATTAATCTAGAAATAACAGAGGTAAAAAAGCAGAGCCTCTCATGACCAAAGGACTACATTATTCCATCATAACCAGCTCCTTAATATGTCAAATCGCCAGTGCCTGGTCAAGTTGCAAGTACACATACAAATTATCTGGCATAGTATCTCAAGCGTAAAGACGGCAAAGGGAAGAAAAATAATATTATATTTACCTTATCAATGCTATAACTGTTCATCAAGGTTTGCTTCCTAACAGAAGATCTCTCTGGTAAAGGTTTTGATGATTCCAACAAATTTGTTTGAGGAAGATGACTCCACCCATTTGATTGATATGCATGTTTTCTGGATAAATCATCAATCTTCTGTCGTACAGCCGGCTTCAAATCCTCCAGCTCAGTTAGAGCACTCAATGATTTCTGTAATTCAAATATTAGAAAAACTAGTACTGAAAATTGATAATAATGAAACAAAGGTCTCCTACTAGTCAGAGAACAAAAATTAAAGATTGTACCTTCTTGAGAGAAAGCTTATCTCTCTGAAGAGATGCTCTATAATCTCGATGGAATGGTATTGTTTCCGTAGCCAAACTAAAGAAGAGAAGCTAAATTCATTTCAGATTCACTGGAAGACCTTGGAATGACTGATAATGTCCACGACAATCCCCCTCACTCCCACATCAGTTTGAAATGTTTCCACAAGTCAATAGAAAATCTGCCACCTTACCAGAAGCCAGATTCATATCAAACCAACATATTTTCTTACCTTGAAAACCTTAGAAGCATGACGTATAGATCGATGATATTCTTCTCTTCTCGGAAGATAGCAGCCTGCAGCAGCACAGTTACCTTAAATCTTAAAACAGCTCGGAGAAAAGATGATTATACCATTAAAACTTATGCCACAATTGTGAGAAAAGTAAAAACATCAACTCATTTGACCAAAAAGTGAATCACAAAATAAAAAATTACATGACCTAATATGCGGCTTTCCTAAGAGTACAGTTGGCAGAAAGATTACATATTTTAATATATTTTATGATTGATGAAGAAATTTGTGACACAAGTGAAAGACCATGAAGAAAATTCAGCACATATTTTCTCAAGGAACCAATTTAGGAGCTTGACTATTTGAACCATCAGCTTGAGGGATATTTGGTATGTCTTCCTCCAATGTAACTTGCTTCTCCTACCACTAGGATTTAGGTCAGACAGAGAATGACATGTTTTATGTTCATGTGAAGTTCGATTTTATTACTTACAGCACAAAAAATGGAAAAAAAATTGTGTGGTCAGTTTTGTTTCCCTTGCAGACTATTTTCTTAATGAATCTCGGTATCTAGAGATATTAGGTCTCCAAATTTCTGTGAGATAGAGCTCTTCTATGATTAGATTTTTTGTATTCTATTTCTATACTTCTCTGCATATGCTGGATGAAAATGCCTCCTCTGGTATACACTTATTCTCTGATAATTGAAAACTGCCTGGCCTCGTACAGCTGTGGGGTTGAGGTGGGGGAACATGAAAACCTGAACATGCAGACTTGGTTTATGTTTGAGTGACAGACAAAAATTAATTTCTTTTGCTTTTGGTTGAAGAATTGAGAAAACCTATTGCTCAATCCTCCATATTCAAAGAAAACTCCCACATTCACTTGGTGTTGTATGCCTGCAGTTCAAATGATAAACCCGAGTGTTCGATATCTGTTCTCACTCACCTCATGCGAACAAGCCTAACAATGGGGATGATGATAAGATATCTACTGGAAACTCCAACATATTAACAGTGTATGATATACTGTGTATGTAATTAATCTAGAAGTAAACACCAAAGGAATTAAAAAATCCTAAATATTTCTGTATACAGATTTAGGTGTTTGGTAATTAAGTTAAAAGAGAATCTTTTTTATACAGTGTTTTAAAAATCCCCGCTTCGGCTCAAGCAGCCATGTAGGCGTTAAGCGTCCCCTCACCACTTCAAATAAATTAAGGCCACTAAATCAGCTGCCTAACCTAGGAGTTAAGCATCGGTTACCACTTTGATTACCAACTAACTGTTGAACTAAGCATTTCAAAGAACTAGCAAAAATCAATAAACATTTCTAAGCTTATGCTCATCAATCAACTTCTCTGAATTTAGAGAGAATTTTCCTAACCCTCTGATTAGATAAATAATCAAACAAAAAATGGTATCTTATGTGTTTACATACTCCAAAAGTAACTTTTTTACAAACATTGAAATGAACTGCCTATGGTTCTGCTTAATCCTTGTTTAGATGCTTGAGCACTAGAAGGTCATACGGTACCTAGCTCCACTTTAAAGCTTTTCAGAACACTACTTTGATCTATTTACTAATGGATAAAGTTGCTTGTAGAGAAAGTTTGGGAAACCTCTAAAGTACATCTCATATTTGAAACATAATTAAATGCTTTTGATTATTCTCTCTTCCATCCAATTCGTCTAATTAAAGCCCATATACATCGAGATGGCTATCTCTAAGCTTTTACCAGGTATGTCACAACTAGTCATAACAGAAGTCAATGTAGTTAAAATTTTGTCTTCAAAATTCACATCATGTCAGCATGTACTTTTCGTATAGTCCATGTAATTAATTCATGTGGCATACATGCAGCTAGTTCTATTATCTATAGTAGCATACTTAACATGTCAATGTAATGGACCCTTATGCTTAATATGTAAAAACTAGCAACCACTTCTCCCACAAATGCCTTTTTTCTACGATTCTTATTGCAACTCTTTTTAATTTCTCTCCTAAACTCCTCTCTTTTCTATTTTGTCATTGTTGTTCATCACTACTCAGTTCAGCCAGTTGAATGAAAATGACAAATTTGATGGCGTCTAGCTTAGATTATACTTATTTAGTTTCTCTTCCTAGTTAAATTAGGTTTATTTCTTTACAATAAATATTGTAATCTCAATGGTTTAATTAAAAATTATCACTATTTACATATGAATTTTGCTTGTATGGTTGGTCATTGTGAACACCACCGTAAACTCTACTATGTTGCCCATGTCCATTAATTTCAATTTCAAGGAACCCCTCTTTTTATCCAAAATTTCTTCATGAAGAGGATAGATAAAGTGAGAAAGATGCCACGGGAATTAATTTCACACAAAGAGAGAAAGATGCTGTTTCTTTGCACCCTAACTGAATCACAAAGACATCTAAATGTCTAGCTACTCTTACATGTTACACAAACTGCAACACAAACCTCTCAAGCTCTAAAGAAATCTCACCTTATTGGTGGTGGTTTTCATTCTTCTACAACTATATTACTCCACTCCAGTTCTCCCTCATTTGGCACCGAGTGTCATTTTCCTTCATTGTTCATTTCTAATATTCCCTCTTTATCCTTTTAATCATTTCCTCACACAGCTGCAATGTGGTCAGGGGATAGATGCTATAATTGCACTTGGTAAAAACTGATCTCCTACTCCATCCTAATGATGTATTGCTCCCTATGGTCCTAAGTAAATGCACAATGCCAGTTATTTGCTCATATGGACCAACAAGAAATCACATGTAACACTCAGAAAACCTAAGACTTCTAGAAATGAAGATAAATCTGCAACAACAGGTCTAGTTTTAGTTTTAAGCCTCCAATATACCCTTACTGTAGCTTCCCTAAACAAACATACATGTAAATCTGCTTATCACACACATTATCCCCACCGTGCATAGAGTCAACTACATCGTTCATGCAATTCAGATACCCTCTACCTCCGATATCAACTTTATCAATTTACTGACCACTTCATAGAATAAAATTATTAATACCAACTTTTTTCCGCTTACGTATCTACAAAAGCAGTGATCTATACCAATCCTTTTACACTTTCATTGCAACATCGGTATATCATGGCTATCTACATGTCTACTGTAATTCTAGGGGAACAACAAGAACTACATTCACAGATACAACTACATTCAATATTCTAGTGGATGTTTTGAATGGGTGTTGAACACTTGCACATGTGAAGTACCTCATGTGAAGTGCCTGATAATCTATAAGGGCGCCTATATGTATCACTTCCACCAGAAGTGATTGAACTGAAAGTAAAAAAGTGCATCCAGCAGGAAATAAGTAAGGTATAGCTATGAGGCTAAACAATTCGCATCTAACACCCCGCGTTCTAACTTTATGGGCATAACACTGATCCTCAATTAAACACTTTAAGTGTTAAGAAAATTTTGATATTCTTTACAAATATAAGAAGTAGAAAATTTTCAACATCAACCCTTTTAAGATCACCAAATGAATGAATCAGAAAGTAGTTGGTTCGATCAAAATAGTCAATTTCGAACCAAGGGGTATATGAAGTTGGGGAAGTAAGGACCTGTCGGAGAATGTTATCGGCGATCCGGTAGTAGTAACGGAGGGAAATTCGATCATCAACATTTATCTTCTGTGCGCTGGCAGCTACATTGATTGTTCCGGAAGATGACCTCATCGTCATAGGGTTTGAAATTCCTGTTTTCTACTTCCGGTTCGAACAAAATTGCATCGTCTTCAGAGGATCAATCAGAATCTCAGCACTCTGAGAATCAATTTACGATTCTAATCATGGATTTTGTGAGGAGGTTTATGAGGAAAGGTCTGGGAAAGCAGTCAATGGCGCCGTTGAGAAAGAGTGCGATGTAAACAAAAAGGAGGTTTTGAGATGAGGGCAGCGACGTAAATACAACGACAAACAAGAGGATAATTAATTGTTCATTCAGTTTAACCGGTTTCTGGAGTGAACCGCCTTCCGGTTATTTGATTCATGTTATTTGGTTTCTTTAAAATGATGTGATAACCAAATTAAACTAGTGTTATATTCGTTTCGTTGATCGGATGCATGTCATGACTTTAAATAGATTGTAAACATTCTTGAAACAAATCTCAAACAAAGGACGATTTATCAACCTGAACAAATCGATAATATTAGAAATGTGAGCATAAATCTATGTGACATAGGTTTTTTCCTAACTCGATTGGCACCCCCAAGTAATACTCATACTATCTCACAATGTACCCATATCAAATCCCTTTAGACGGAGATGAAAAGAATGATGAAAATTAGTTTCTACCTGAGGAAGTCCAGGGCTAGTTCCCTTCTTGATAAATCATTCAATGTCTTGAAATTGAGATGAAAAAACTTTTTGTGCCATAATCAGTTGACATCTGAAGAGGCTTTAGAGAGAAAATAGATGTTTTTAGTGAGACAAGAATCCATGTTGATAACATAGACATTTTCCATACGAGTACTAGTGACGGCAAGTTTTCCATCATTGTCACTAATTGTACAGGCTTTCTTTGAGAAGTTTACTGAGAAGTCTTTGTCATACAGCTGACTAATGTTGAGTAAGTTGTGTTAGTTACTCCATTAGTCAGTACATCGAAAAAGTGGTTGTGGGAACGATACGCTTCGGTTACCGGCGAACGCTTCCAAAGGCGACCAGCTTTCAATACTAGTTGTTACCTTATGCTGCCATTTTTATAATATTATTGAATAGCATGGTTGGGGGCTAAGATAACTCAAATGGGAGAGTCGTGTTATGAGTGACCTTATTGCACGGTTCAGAGAGCACTTGTGTATGTGATGCAAGTGAACGTGTACGAAAAAGCTGTCGTAAAGTTTCGTTGTTCGTTCCGTCGTCGACCCTATCTATGTTTCTATGATGGCCCAAGAACACGCTCATTCTTCAACCATAGAGAGACTTTTGAATTGCAAGGTGTTGTATCTCTTTCCATTTCCACCAAAGGTCACTAAGTGGCCTTTTCCTTCCTTATACTCAGTGAGCATCGACTTATTTCCCGTCATATTCTGGAGCATCTACTATCCAGATACCATATTCCTTTTAAATCTTGCACTCACAAGAGAGATTAATTTTACTTTGGTCTACAAGAATAGAAACAATTTGTAGAAGGGGGAGGGATGAATACAAACACAGTATTTTCAAATTTAAAATATATATTGATAGAGAAGATCAATACAGATTTTACAAGACTGTTTGAGGAAAGATAAGGTAATGAAAACCTATCTAAACAATCTTTGGTTACACACAGAGCTTTAACAAATACAAGAAAAAAGATTGCTAAAAAGAAAGATCCTTTACTTAACCTAGAAGATGCTTGAAGTAAGAATAAGGTTAGAGAGAGATGCGCGTTCTCTGCATGGAGAAGAAACACTTCTATTTATACCAAGTGCATTAAATGATCATTTAATGCAATATGGTAGGTTTAGAGTGCGTGTCAAACCTTAAGAGGAAGACTTGTCCTTTGCTACAGTGAATAGTACAAAAGCACTATTCTTGAGCAGACATCCTTACCTAAAGTTGGTGGACAAAAAGTCGATTAATCGGCTCCGTACCGTACTAACTTTTGTAAGGGTATGGGTTTATCCTTTGTGTACATAAGGACAAAACAACAACAATCGTGCTAAGCAAGCTTCCTTTGATCGCTGAATGTTGGAATGACCTGGAGGTCTCATCATCATTCGTTGAAGCTAGAGCAGTCTTCACACATGTATAGACAGACTTGTAATCACTGAATACCGCTTCAGATCACGTACTCGCCAGTCTCTAATCTTTAGTTTCAGTCTTCGACTTTTGCTGAAGGTTCTTTGGTATGAGTGTTGTCTTCTTGAAGTATTGCTGTCTCTGATAGATTTATAATGCAAGTTCTTTAGCGATCACTGAACATACTCAGTGATGATTGCTGGAACTGAAAATACTTAAACATAAAAATACAACGTGAAAGGGAAAAGGGATTATCATCAAATCACTGAGAGAGAGGATCAACAATATCCCCCTATTTGATTATAACAAGATAACATAAAGAAGGTTATCT